ATTGGCACTGTTGGAATGATAGATTTTTAAGCCCAAACCCACCCATTCTCATGTTGGAGTTTTTCAAGGACGGAATCTAGAGTGGCGCTTTGCTGAATACCGTAGAATAGATCAGGGTCCTCGATGTTTTTGAAAATGTCGTGGAGGAGCAGTAAGGAGTCAGGCAACTTTGAAACTGCTAACCGTCGAGTTGACGAAGTCCGCGAGAAATGGATTTCCACGAAAAGAAGGGAAGTTTTGTACATTTTACACTGCGCTGCTGCATGCGCAGCTTGCAGGTAATCAATGTCAAGCCAGGCATCTCGCTGATTCATGGTCTGCTCGTGAGGGATTTTTTGGTGCCTTAAATGCAGAATACAATGAATAATTAGCCGGATATGTGGGAAGGTGGTTTGCCGAACATCACGGAATGCTTGTCGAAATACATCGGAGACAACTTGACGAACAATCCGCTTACCCTCATATTCGGAGAGAAGCCTGTCATGTAGAATATATGGTAGGAGTTTCATCGCAAGAGCCGGTATCTCAAAAAGAACTTTTGGTAAGGTGCCAACTACAGAATTGGTGGCTTCCCGGACCGATAAACAGAGAGTGAAATCACGGGCCCATTCCTCAGCAGGTGCATCGGCAATCCACCGAACATCGTGGTTGAATTGTGCCCTCTGGAGAGCGGTTAGGGAAAGGTCAGGACATAAATATGGCGTCCAGGTAAGCGCTTTGACAAGTGAACTAGGAATGGCTGACGCGCATTCTCCGAGATCGGGTTCAGAATGGAGACTAGTGAAAATTTGCTGCAAGGCTCGCTCCGCGAGTCCAATATCCCGACGACTATTTGAAAATAACGAATTATAAAGTATCTTGATAATAGAAATTTTGGATGTCAATCTAACTCGTTCTGGAATATCATCGGGGGGAGATGATTGCGTTTCCTTGAGCATCGAATCATTGACCACTCCCGTCGACGCATACGCCCGGCCCAATACACGAGCAGCCCAGAGGCGATAACCGGAACTATGATCACGATGTTGTATGGTGTTCCAAACAGTTACCGCGTTCGCTGCTGCAACCTTGTCTTCCCCTAAAATATCATCTCGGAAGTCTTTAGGTCTTTGGAAGTCATTACAGATAAGAGAAAAGACCAAATCAGTGGCTGGAGCACTCAATAGTCTCTCCCCGGGCGCGCTATCTTGCAAAAGACCTACTAGAAGTTCACCCTCATATGTACTTTTTGAAGCGCTTCCGACCAAATTAATGCGCTGAGCTGATTGCACAATAGTTCGGAATGATTTCCCGGATTCCTTGCTAAGCTTCGGAGATTCATACTCGTCCAAAAACTTTGCAAACCAGTCATGGAAAATTTGAGCCTTGGATATTGATGACCGGAAATGCGTTTCTTGAGTAGTGCTCTCCTGGGAAGAGGAGAGAAGCCCCCTAAGAGAGGCAAGAGTCGAGACCCCAAGTCCTGCCATAAAATAAGGGTTTTCCAGTAGATATGGCCTGCCTTTGTCGATGAGGTACCAAAACAGCCCAACAGCATCTTCCGAACAATGAAAATCAGAGAGAAATGACCTTAGGAAATGTAACAACATTTCTAGGGGATATTCATCAAGAACCACCGATCCAGCGACGCAGACTAGAATTTTGAGCTTTCGGATCACTGCACAAGCATGGAGCGAACCCAGGGATGGATGAATAGATTCTATCAATGTCCTTGCAACAAAACAAACCAAAGCGGGTGTCCACATTGTTTCCAGGTCATACCCGGTCCGCGTGCATAGAAAGTCAAACTCATCGAGGAGGTATCTGGCTCGGAAGGAAGGTTGTTGGCTGGCTGGCAAAACCGCCGTTGATGAGCTTCTTTTCGCTATATCTTTCCAGATATCTAGAGCGTATTTGAAAGCAGGTCGTTTTTCAAAGCCTCTTTCCATCTGTTCTGTTTGATCCACGCATTTGAAAAATACGGCAATTGTTTCAGGGAAATATCTTTCCAGTAAGGAACCAAATTGTTCAGCTCCCAGAATCTTCCTGATGCGACCCTGGGTTCCTTTTGGCTGGCTGTCCTGTGAAGGTGGGATGCTTATGTCGCGGGCAATACAGTATGCTTCGGCTTTATAAAAACAGTGCTCCAGTAATCCTCGGAAGGTCATACCCAAACAATTCGAAATCTCGGTCATCTCTTGATCCTTGCCCCGCATCACAATTTGGGCTACAACTTCGTCCTCAACATCTATTAGTAAGTCATTAAGCGCCTGATAACCAAATATGGTAAACGGAATGGACCCCAAAGACTCCGTTTCGAGCCACGTATATATCATCTGAGAGGCAAAGAGCCTAAAAATCTCTTTAGCATCATCGAGGTTGAGGGAACGCGCGACCTCTTGTAAGCAAGCCTTTGCATATGGCGCTGATTTGGGCAGTTGCCCGGGAGCTTCAAATATGTGATATATTCCGCGGCGTAGAAGGGTATGCCATCTAGACGCTAATTGTGCTAGGAGATATAGGCGTAATGCAATGCCTTCATTCCGGTCAGGGTCACGAGGAAGGTTCTCCAGAATATCGTCAAATATAGCGTCATGTTCTTTTAAAATAAAGCCGTCGAACACTGACGGAATAATCCCGGACAGGTGGAACTTCACAGTAAGATCCCCGTCGTGTAAAATCTTAAACAGGATAGTACGAGGCGAGGGACGCGAGCTGTCCCTTGGGTACAAGGGGTCAGCTTGAAGGATACGTCCCATCAACGTAGCAATCCTTATCAGGACTCTTGGGGAAGCCAAGCTTTCTTCAACTAGTAACGCATACCAGTTGTAAAGATCAACAGCAGATTCAAAAAGTTCGTCGTCTTCGTCCGTAGTCCAAAGATCAATAAAAGCTGTCGTAAGTTCAATACAAATGGATAAAGCAGCTTCGCACATTTTAAACTCATATGATTGCAGTATCGTTTCCCCAAAGAACACAAGCAAACTGCAGGCGTCGGATCTAGAAATGCTTGGCCAGCTGCCAAGAAGGGCTACCAGACTGGTTCGAGCAGCGAGAATGTCCGCAGTGTCAAGTGATGTGACATGAGCGACTATGGTCCCATTCCTAAGGGCTTCGGAACTATTGTTTGCGCCGTTTAGGTAATATAATATATGTAGGTGAGTGGCTGTTGCACGGCGAACTGCATTCTGGTCCCCGTATGCAGGGATATCCTCTCGATCGAATTTCGGTGCGAAGTCGTTATCTTTTATGTGGCTATCTTGAGATGAAAAATGATTATCGAGATCCATTTGGTCAGCTGCGGAATTAGACGAGTCCAGCTCTGCACCATTGTGATGATCTAAAACGGCAATAAAATCAGGGGCGATAAGTTGAACGGCCTTCATAACTGGATCATTGATGTCGAATGATAGCTTCAAGCGCAGAATGATTGGAGACAGAACATCCAAGCAGGAATCAAGAAATTCCACTTCATTCTTCGAGAAAAAGCCACAGAGGCTTACCCAAAGCTTTTCAGTGCTTTTCTGTAAATATTGACACCGGAGTGAAACAGGTAACGGAAGTGATTGAGTAAATACGGTACTTGTGATGCAGAGAGATACTAAAATCTGAATGATTTCAATGGTAACATGCTGGTGATTATCATCGTTTAGCTGACTCCAAATTTGACAGAAATTGTCTATTTTCGATTGCAATAATTCCAAAATAAGTTGGTCATCGGGGTGCTGCTTCACTGAAGAGCTAATATATGTAAGCCTTGCCGTATCCGCTGCAGTCTCATTTGCAGGACCTTGTCGTGCTGTGAGAAACAGATAATCAATCAGCTTGCAATCCTGACGGAGCCTAATAAAGCACCTTGAGATCCTGCAAAGAGGCCCCGGAATGACAGGATAGGGAGGGTCGAAAGATCTCCCAGTGCACTTCATCAGGATATTGAGAAGATCCAAGGGTCGTGCAAAGGTAGCAACTTGCATCGTATAGACGCGGTCAGTTAAAGTCCCTATTTCCAATATTAGTAAAAAGGTATTCAGTCCAGCAAGCATGGAAGCCGTCAGATCTTACAGCTATTTCTTATCCATGTGCAAATTTGCTTTGACATATCTTGGTTCTGTGCGGGATTGAACTTTGTTCGGAAGTCTACCAGCTTTGCCCACATGCACAACGCGGAGTCGGTTAGACCTGAGGGGCCATTAAGATCAACAGAGGATATCATCGATTCAATTGTATCCCCCACAATTGAATAATCTAGTAGCTCGAAATGGAGAATTGCTGTCAGCAAATTACAAGCAGTCCTAGATGTGATGGGAGAGCCCAGGGCGCGACAAGTCAGCTCCCAAACTTGAACCCACAAAGGACGCAATTCCTGCGAAGTAGCAGCAACAAAACTAGCCATACTGTTGTTTTATGATCAGTATATTGATTGATATATTTTAGAGGGCAAACTCACCTTGCAAGTGCTACCATGGTCCATGACGCTGTGGAACCGTTTTCGTCTAAAATATTTACTGTAAGCTGCGCTAGAGTTGTTAATAACTCTTCAACCACGGGCTCGCGTTCTGAGAAAATGAATGGAAGCAATTGCAATGCACATATTCTCGTTACTCCTGCAGAAGTCGAAGCTTCACGAACAATATCGGATCTCCTTGACAAGAGATGTTGTTTCTTATTCGGTCGTCCACTTGTTTGTGGCCCCTCATCTAGGCTGAGGTACATATTGTCTAAAAGCGTCGAAAAAAAAGCAATTGCTTGCAAAGTGATCCAAGTTTGTTCAGACCTAGGAACTCCCAGGCGTGGAGCCATTGTCCTGATGCCCATAGGTTGGGGGGTTTGGTCAAACGTAAACACCAAATCGTCCACTTGCATGCAGTCCTTTTCTGGTTGCCTCGTGTACTCCTGATACAGTTGCTCGGTTAGGTCTTGGAGTCGTTCCGCGAATGAATCTGGTGGAGATGAGAGACTAGATTGAATGAAAATGGGTCTCCCAATCATCAGCGTTATCAACATCTCATCCTTCAAGATAGCGGATCTCGTACGCCAGAATCGTTTTATTATTGGGATGACATCCAACAAAGCGTCTCTAACAAGAATAATGTCATACGTTATCAACTTTGCAAGAACGGAATTGAATGCGCTAAATGCGGCATGGGGAGTTTTAGAAATGCTACTCTGTGATTGAAGATAGTCCACAAGGCCATTGAGCAGCTTTTCAGCATCATCAATGATGGGTGCGGAAGGATAGGAGCACAACAATTGCATACAAGTCTCTAGCTCTTCGGTCTTTGTACTGTTCTCAAATCCGGAAGTTTTATTGCGCCGAAAAGTATCGGCTTCGATAGAACTGGTACGACTTCCTCGATCACCCAGACTTTCAGATGGAAGACGTGTACGGGACCGAATGCTCAGCTGAGTCTCCTGGTTAGGTTCTATGACCCCAGTCGCTTGGAGACAGAAATCAACGACATGATGCCAATCACCCTTGCTCAAGTGCTCCAGGTGAGGCGGATACTGCAATATTGTCTTCAAAATCTTTATGTAGTCGCCGCTAAGTAGTTCCCACAGTGCATCTCCCAGTGTTTGGATTGCATCGGTGACATGGTCGAGCAAAGCGGCCACGGTTTTTGAGCGGATTTTATGTACACCCAGCTCAACAGTTGCTCGGAGGGCAGAAACACAACTTGTGAGTCTCGTTCCCGATGTGGATTTGGATACAGGGGTCTTCGACGTACGTTTGTAGGAGGACTTCTCGGTGGAAATAAACCGAAACAGGGTTTCGAAGATTTTATGATACTCCTTATCAGTGAGATTGTTCCTACAACAGACACCATTCAATGTTAGGATCTCTATACAGTTTAAAGATTTTGCTAATCGGGAGCCATACAGCTTAGGTGTTTGTCTATTCCGCAGAAAGATATGTTTGAGATCTTTTTAGATATTGTCAGTCCGTTTCATAGATCGTCCTATCTTCACAAAAGTGACGACGGCAGTACCTTCAAGCCCAGCTACACGATTCCTTTGCAGGTCTGAGCCAATTGCCCTCAGCGCATCCTCGAGGCTTACTTCCTTCATTGCTCCCTAAAGCAGTTGTAGAAAATAGAGACGAGCGGTTGGTGTGGACCATTCCATTCAGTAGCGGGGAGTCAAGATTAGTGTAAATAAAACTGCCCATTCCTGATAGGATATTAATTGTAGTATTTGATAGATATCTCTTCGCCACGGGTCGTGCTATTTACATGAGAAAAGACGACAGGACGTTTTGATGGGCTAAATATTGAATGGTAGGGTTGTGGTGAGCCCCACGAAAGCTTGGGCCCGTTAGCAAATAACTTTTCGGAGCCGCGTTGGTCAACAGCAACTCGTCGTTATCGCAACACATCAACAAGAGAACCTCTTACCCACCCATCTGCACAATGGATGGTCGTGATGAGTTGGATGGCCTGAGGGGTCTCTACCAGGACCTTTCTTCACTTTCCAGGTCTGCTCTTCCGAACGTCGACAGACTCGTTTTTGAATTGGAAAATACCATTCAAGACTTCAGAAAGCTCCTAGACAAGCCGCCAAAGAAAAGTGAAAGCCGCCAATCCATACTTTCCGGTACTATAAAAGCCTTTCTCTCTTTTTATAATCTGTTTTTACTACAAGCTTTTGCGCTAATTTTATTGCTATATAGGAAAAATCAAGCTTAACGATGTCGAATACTCTATTAACCAGCAATTCCAGCAGGACGTTTTGCAGGTAGCAGATGCCTTGGATGTGGATGAAATAGAGGCAGCCAGTTGTTATATGCAAGCTCAAGATGATTCAAAAAAATTAGACCGCCCACCAGTTATGTGCACAATAATACGCTTTCATGAACGCCGATCGTTTCTTCTCGAATGTCTACGTTTAGTCCTGTTCGAGTCTTTCGAGGTGGAGAGGGAAGGTACCCAAGCGATCATGCAAGAATTTGTTGCAAAAATCCTCGAAATCCAAAACGGCCCATTGCGAAATGCGTCACTCTTCGCTAGAAAATGTATGGATTCTATGGCCGATATCGAAAAGTGGCTGGTTCGTTTGGGCGATCTAGCCCAGAAGGCGTCAATTGTTGGACAAACTCAGGAATCAGATATTGAAATCATAGAATATCAGCGCAGCAGCCTTGGAAAGGAACATGAGTCGATTGGCGCAATCCTCTGCTATCTTTTCAAAGGAACTTTCACGAGCTCTGAAGATTTCCGCCTTCTTCTGGACCGACTCAGGAAATTAGATAAGTTCGACATGAGCTTGGTTCATTATATCCCAGCAATAATCTTGTCAGTATCTCAGTATGGCTCCCCTGAAGGTTCCGGATCCCTTCGTGATGCAAGATCCCTCCACCAGGCTATTGTACCTTCCAAAGATCCCCAGGACTGGGTTCTGGCACAATTTCATGCTGCTACCATGGCATTCTGGCTTGCTGAATATGCTGGTTGGTATTTTGAATCAGGGTCTGGCTCCCCCATCCAGGGCATTAGCCCCGAAAAAGAGGCTGCAGATCTCTCCAAGTTATTTATCACGGCACTGGACGATGGGGCCCTTGAGTTCATGCTGCAGGTCTGCAGTGGGGTCAGTCAGAACGAGTGGCGCGACCCAGGAAGAATTGAGATGGTTAACCTACTCCTCAAGGATAGTACACCTTTGACAGTGGAGCCAGACTCTTCTTCTCCATATTTTTATGCATTGCTCATGGAACATTTCGAGATATTTATAGAATCTCTTATTGCCAATATGCCAGATGCCATCAGAACACTGAAGTCAGAGGAAGACATTCAGCGTTTGGACCAAATAACGGCTCTGCGGGAAGGTCTAACCTCAAACTTACATCGTGGTCCCATTGAAACACGTATGCATTTCGAAACATTGCTTATGATAATGGCATTTGCATTTGAACATAGGGCTGAGGCTTCCCAGGCATTCTGGACAGATCCGGAGGGAAATTTAAATGGATTTCTCCAATGGGCGTCGAAGCGTCAGACCGTTCCTCGGGCCAGCGCCTTCTGCGAGATGCTTTGCTCCATCTCAGAAGGGGAGGAAAATTCTTTATCCGCGCACAAATTCCTCTTAGATGAAGATAACATATCCTCCACGAAATTTAGGAGATCTGCTTCGATGAGCTGGATTCAGATGATTGATGAACTCCAACTCTATGCTACTAAGGCTACGGAACGGCCTTCAGCGGCACCTCCATCAGTTTTCCGTATTCGAAAACTAGAGCCGGCTGATATAGATGAACCTGAAAGCCCGGTGATGCTCACTTCATATCTGAGACTCATTAGTCACTTGTGTAAACAGAACTCGGAAATCCGGGAATGGATTCTTCAACACCCAACACTGAACCTTGTCAACATTCTTCTAACCCTATGCGACGCCCCCATTCCAGGTCATCTGAGATCCAGCATATTTGTCACTTTACGGTTTCTAATGGTCGACAGGACCTCGCTCCATGGAAACGATATGTGGATTGCGCTTGATCAATGGATTTCCGGTTCGGGGTCCCAAACTTCACCTATCGCTAAAATCTCTCTTCCGACCAATTCCCCCGGATGGAATGAACGGCATGCCTTTCAGAAAATAACAGAAACCTTCGATCAAACATTTTCCTTTGTTGAACTACTAGATACGCTAGCATCTCCACCAATAGATTTGGCAAATTCACAGCTCTCCCTTCCATTTCCTGAGCCATTAGGGTCTTCATATCGAATGCCAGGCATAGAGCCTTATATTGACTTCGTCATTGGTCAAGCACTTGTTACTAGATCTGTCGACATCCAGGAGCACCAGATTCGCCACCTCCAATTAGCTTGTTTCAACTTTATTGTGACATGTCTTGAGAATTTCAACGAAAACCTCATATCCATCGTAAGCGAACATTTCGTTCCGCTCGATTCTGGTATGCGGTCCTCATCCCTGAACACGTACATTAGATTGCATCCATTTGCGAGAGTGATGGAGTGGCTATTTAACGAGGATGTCCTTAAGGCTATATTTGCCGCTGCCCATCAAAATATTGACGATGTGGCAAGGGCCACGTCGGATTCAATTATCCTTCGATCTCTGCTCCGGAGTATTGACGTTATGAATCTCATTATGGACTACCAATCGACTTATTTTGATGTCGTACGCCCATTAACTAAATCTCAATCTAGGCAATCCACAACTAACGTGGCTAACTCCTCCCTTACATCGTTCGAAGACAGTGTCGTTAACAATCTTCATATAGTCACGGATTTGTGTCTCTATTGCGGTACTGGCCACCCGCAGCTAACTCTCACTTCGCTCGCACTTTTGGAAAAATTATCAAGCTCGCGCAAGTTAAACAAGGCTACTTCATCCACGTTATCTCGTTGGCAGGCGTCAAATCAGATAGTAGAGTTATTGAACACCGATGTCGAGGCGGATCGTATTGCTCGTTCTCTTGCGTCACAAATGAAGCCTGATATACGTGAGCTAGAGAGCGGACCCGAATCTTCCGGTTACCTTATCAAGTTAGGACTTGTAAACTTACTCGACCGGTGTCTTAGTATCAACCCTGAAAAGCCAAATATGGCACACTTACTTCTAGGGTTTTCTTGCCTTGGAAAAACGCTTGATGTCGCAGTAGGAAGTTTGTTCCAGGACCAAATGTCGCTTTTGCATGCAATCATCGAATTTGCCCAGAGCTACCCTGATGGGGTAGATGGAACCATATTTGCTTGGATGGTGCATCTTAAAGAAGCGAGTTTCCGGGTGCTTCGATATCTCTGGTCTTCGAAGCTGTCGTCAACTCTCGTTCTTCCAGAACTTCGTTACAGTCGTCTCCTTGTTTCTCTCTTCGCAACTCAACCTCCAGTAGGCCCAGAGACACTTTGGAATCATTTCCAAACTTCTGATCCAGAATTTTGGTATTCGGAGTCACCCGCTGCCTTATCAGGATTCCTTAACTATCGAAGCATGCTCTTTGACTATGCCGTCACCGAAATTCGCTCTGTTTCGAGCCACGGTGCCCCTTCTTTGCAAAGGGATACCCTTTCCACCTTGCTGGGAAGCTCCGTCGATGAAAATAACCGAACTTTTAACCACGCCTCCTTCCTCGACCTCTTTGACTTCGCAGATTTGGACATAGAATCCATAAAACCGCCACCCAATTTGAAATTCTATAATGATGTTAACCTGGAGCCATATACCAAGACCCAGGGCGATGGTTCTTTGGTCCTTTATGATCTTGCTACAGTGAAAGAGTTTCTTGACTTCACTAGACAAGATTTACTACAGGCCGGAGTGGCGACCGCTCAAGATGAAGAGCAGCTCTTGTCTGAGCGAGACAACGTATTACTATTTCTCCATGCCAATAACCAAAGTAGAAGAATTCGACTCAATCGGTACTCGGCTGTCCAATCCTGGGCCGAACTTGCAACCACGATCATTGTTACATGCGAGATGGACTCAGGACAAAGGTCGATGTTGATTTTGCATATCTTGCAGGTTATTCTCCCCAAACTCGAAAGTTCCATCGTAGATACTGCTGCAGAGGCCATTGAGTTAGGCCGTTTGGCAGAATCATTGCTGGAGAAGCTTGGTTCTAGTCCTTCCACCCAAATCCCCAACAAAGGAGCTGACATCATCGATGAACGACTCTACCATCTCTTCCAAGCATGTCTTCGTGGGATCCCGCTGGCCCTCGAAAATAGTCCCTTGAGAGAATGTCTTTACAACATTTGTTCGCAATATCTTTCGCGCATTACGCGGGATGGATCTAAACACAAGCGCTTTGGAAACCACTCGGAACAAGTTGTCAAGTCTTCGGGTTCATCACTTGTGGAAGTTGTATGTGATGATGCTTATTCGGGACAGGAAACTTGCAGAATATCCGCTCTGCTTCTATTGAATCTGCTTTCTGTTCTTGATCGCCAACAGTCGTCATCGTTGCTCATAGATATGATTGCCCAATCGAACTATCTGGCCATGTTCGTGGATGTTGTCGGGGCGATACCCTCAGAGTTCCGCAATGCACCGGCCAGTGGTACGTTAATGTGCACTTCGTCTCCTGTCCTTCACTTGCCACTTTCTAACATTACATTTTAGAAACCTCACGCCTATTGGTTTACTATGATGCACATCTGTCGCTACTTCAACAACTTTCTCAATCACGAATCGGCGCGGAGCGCATATTAGATGCGGGTTTGTTCCAAGCTGTTAAGGAGTCCCAGCTTTTTGCTACTGACCCTGATATCGGAATCGGTAAAATTTCCTTGGTCCTTAAACTGTGACGTAATAACTGACTCCATAACTTGCAGACATCGGCAACCCAGACGCTCTTCGGAAATACTATGACCTGCTCCTTGCTGTAATGCGTGTAATTGTATCTGCAGTTTTTGCGCGTGGCTTGCACAACAAGCAATTACTTGACCAGACGCGTACTTTTCTTTCAGGAAATCGACAAATCATGGTTGGAATATTTAAGCGATATGCAAAAGTTGGTGGGCTGGATGGAGGGGAGGTTAGTGAGACTCTGGAGGATCTAGTTAAATCGTATGTCGCTCTGATTGATGCGGTTGGATTTCTTCAAGTAAGTCCCCCGTTCTTCTTTGTTTTACTGTGCGCTTGCACAGGGAGAGATGCTGATGCTAACTGATTGCCTCAGTTCGAGGAAGAGCAGTCGACTGAAAGATCAGAGATGATGTTGTTTTCATAAATTTCTGTATGGATTGTATAATAACTCCAGGCCTGCTGATTAGTGCTGTGAAGACAGGATTTAATATAGAAAAATCAAATAAAAAAGTGAAAAAAATCAAATTTTATACATGATAACTCTGGTGGCTTGTTTTGTTCATCTGTAACTGATTGCTGGCAACCAGCAAAATGACGATTGGTAATAATAATATCATGTAAATTCAGTGCAGATAATTGGCGTTACGACTGTATGTGGTTAATGAACAAAACAACTAAATCATCTTCCATCTCTTCTTTCTCATATCCTTCTATCATCATCCATCAAAACTTCACAAGTCTGCACAGATCTGTTATTTCTGCATCTTGCCCATCATAACCATTCATTCTATCAACCAATTGGAGCCCTCCAGTTATCTCCGTCTGGCGATTCAGGCCAACAACGTCAAAACGGCAATCATCCTTTAAGCCTCCCAAACACCTCGAACTGCATTTACAACCGCGAAATAGAGGTAACATATTCTCACTATTACCATTATGCCCTTCGTTTGATTTCATGGCGACGGCTAAGATCTGATGTGTTTTGGATACCGAACGAGAAAAATAGATGCAGAATTCAATTAGACCTGCACCGAGGGGCGGGAACAAGTCTGTTGGCAAGCGAAAACACCCGGAACAAGAGCCTGAAATCCGCGAGGATCAATCCCCGAAACAGACGACTATTACGGACCTTTTTGAAAACGGCGGGAATAACATATCAAAAAACGGTAGAGGGGAGCTTCTCCCACCTAGCACAAAGCGAGTGAGGCGAGATATATCCCATCCCACAAGCTCCCTCTCAACCTCCGACCCCACCCACCAACCCATTTCAGTTGAGAAAATGTACACATTCCCACAGAACAATACCGATTCGAAATCACCGACTGGTGGAACTGGATTGAATTCGTCACCGAAATCAAACGGTGCCCCCCGTCAGGCCGGATCGCGCGCGTTCAATTACATGACAAGACCCAGCAGCTTCACGCCACATACAGGAGCTAAGAAGCTCGTTGTCAAAAATCTACGAGCCATACCACGTTTGGATCAGGATCGATATTTAGAAAAGGTCTGGTCGCAGCTGGACTCGGCTCTGACAGCAGTCCTGGCAGATCAGAAGCCAGAACAGTCGCTTGAGGAGCTATACAGAGGCGCTGAAAATGTATGTCGACAAGGGAATGCTGCGATACTGGCCAAACGACTTCAAAATCGCTGCGAGGAACACGTATCTGGGACTGTCTTAAAAGTGTTATTAGCGAGAGCTGGGGAGTGCAATGATGTTGATATCTTGAGGTCAGTTGAGGAAGCTTGGTCCGCCTGGAATAGTCGTTTGGTATGTGGGTTCTCCTCCCAAGACCAATTCCATCTGTAATTAACATTGATTACTCGCTGTCCTAGGTTATAATTCGTTCCATTTTCTATTACTTAGACCAATCATTCCTGTTACATTCGGCGGACAATCCAGTCATTTACGAGATGGGCTTAATCCAATTCCGCACGACGATCTTCTCCAACGATATATTACGACCTCGAATCTTGCAAGGAGCCTGCCAACTCATTGAACTTGACAGGGCGGAAGACAATACGGTGGTCGACCCAAATTTACTCAAACGTGCCATCAAACTATTTCATGACCTGGGTGTCTACAAGAAGCATGTTGAACCGTGCATGCTTGACGCATCGGAAATATACATCAGTAGATGGGCTGGTAATGAAGTTAGTCATTGTGGGCTTGCCGCCTATGTGGAAAGATGTCATCTCTTGTTATGCCGTGAGATGACTAGATGTGATCTATTCTCAATGGACAGGAGTACCAAACAAAGCATCTCGCAAATGCTAGATCGTTATCTAGTTTCTGAACACACCAATATCCTAATTAAAGAAGACGATATAGTTGATCTACTTAGCAAGAACGACAAATTTGCTCTGGAACAATTATACTCTTTGCTACAACGACAGGACCTAGGGGCCAAAGTGAAACCGGCATTCTCCGCGTATATTATCAAAGAAGGCTCTGCTATCGTATTCGATCAGGAGAATGAAGACAAGATGGTTACCAGACTTTTGAAGTTCAAGGAGAATTTGGATGAAATATGGAAGAGCGCATTTCACAAAAATGAAACCCTAGGTCATAGTCTTCGGGAGGCTTTCGAAAAATTTATCAATGAAACGAAACAAACAGGGTCGAATTGGGGTACCGATAATCCAAAGCCCGGTGAGATGATTGCGAAATACGTTGATATGCTACTTAGAGGAGGTGTCAAGGCCATTCAGGGTCTGGCTGAAGAATCAAAAAGCGGGAGCACGGCATTAGTTGATGAGGATGCGGAAATCAACCAGAAATTGGACCAGGTTTTGGATCTTTTCCGTTTTGTCCATGGAAAAGCTGTTTTCGAAGCCTTCTACAAAAACGATCTCGCCCGTCGCCTACTTATGGGTAGAAGCGCTAGTGATGAGGCCGAAAAGAGCATGCTTGCAAGGCTCAGGTCAGGTTCGTATGGTTACAATCCACAACCAAACTACTGCCAAATAAATTATCTAACTGATTTGGGACCGTCCAGAATGTGGATCGAATTTTACTCATAACCTCGAGTCCATGTTTAAGGACATGGATCTTGCGCGTGATGAAATGGCATCGTATAATGCGCTTCTCGGCCCAAACCGAGATAGATCCAATATGGATCTGAACGTAAACGTCATATCAGCGGCTGCATGGCCATCATACCCAGATGTCCAATTGAAAATACCAAAGGTTATATCCAGCGCGATGGACAGTTTCGAACAGTTCTACAATAACAAGTACAATGGTAGAAAACTTCATTGGAAACACTCTCTTGCGCACTGTCAACTCAAGGCAAAGTTTCCAAATGGGAATAAGGAAATCGTTGTCAGCTCCTTCCAAGCCGTTGTCCTTCTCCTTTTCAACGATGTGGAGGATGATACCACTTTGTCATATCCAGAAATCAAGGAGGCTACGGGCTTGTGTAAGTCGTGTTTCTTTTTTTTCTTATCTTGCTTTTACTCGAAATCTCCCTCGATTGCCTCGTGTTATCTGTAATCATCTTGCTAATTCTAACCTCCCAATCCCAGCTGATATCGAATTGAAACGAACTCTCCAATCGCTAGCCTGCGCCAAATACCGTGTCTTGACCAAGCGTCCAAAGGGCCGAGACGTCAATGACGACGACACATTTTCTTTCAACTCAAACTTCTCAGACCCCAAGATGCGCATCAAGATCAACCAGATCCAGCTCAAGGAGACCAAACAAGAGAACAAGACTACGCACGAACGTGTAGCAGCGGACCGACACTATGAGACGCAGGCAGCCATCGTTCGAATTATGAAGGCGCGTAAGGTCATCACTCATGCGGAGCTATTGGTGGAAGTGATTAATAAAACGAAGAGCAGAGGTGTACTAGAGCCTGCGGGGATCAAGACTAATATTGAAAAGTGAGTCTAAAAAGGAAGAGATTCCGGCCCCTTTGGCCTTTTCCAGCTGTTTGTCATTCTCTCTTACCAGGAGAAAACTAGTGATACTGATTTTCACTACATCATGCAGACTCATCGAAAAAGATTATATAGAAAGGGAAGAGGGAAACAAGTATCGATACCTAGTTTGAAATGGATATGCAGGGTTTTTTTCTTTTCCTTTTTCTTTTCTCATTGCATCATATGGGCAAATATCTATGTGAGAATTTCATTTTCATTGTGGATACCGAGTCAACCAAAATCTGTTCTTCATCCAATTTCCTCTACCCCATATCTGTTTGTACTACCCGTCATTTGAACTCCCACGTTTTTATGCGACTCATAACCTTTTTGAAGCATGTAGAGACGCATTTTAAAAAAAGGAAGAAGCAAAGGAACGATGAACCTCGTGTTTGTTAATGATGCTCAATGATGATGGCATGCCTTCCCCTTCTTTCCCTTTTTTTTTCTTATTTTTTTTTTTTTTTTTTTTTTTTTTTTTTGTACTTCGGTGTTATTCATTTGTTGCGCATAAAAGGGAAAGCATGATGAAAATGAGGGCGCTTGTGGGAAGTGTTTGAGAAAAGGTGTCATTTCAAAAGAAGTAGGATGTTGAAAACCCTCAGATATGTCAAATTTTCCCTTGTATCGTTTTGGGCTTTCCCTTACTTTCATCCCATTCCCTTCCCCCTCCCCCCTTCCCCCGTCTTCATTCCCAGCATGTCTCAGGTAGAATTTTTCCTCAAAGAACTGCGTGCAAACATTACCCACCCGTCCATGTATTGTACAGTACATGGTGAATATTTCAGATCCAACAGATCAAATACTGATGGCAGCTGATAGCCGACTCCCTTTCCAGCATCTACTTGCGAGAATATATATACGTATATATAAATTTACACATCTGGGTAACTGTTTTAGTTTCCTCCCACTATTATTACATGGTTCTCCTTTCCTTTCTTCAGTTTTCCCTCATTCCATCGACTGACCTACAGGCAGGAGCTACTAGATGGCGATGTTAACTATGTTACATATTACCCGCGCAGGATAAGCGAGGCATGACTGGAACGAAGCCCAATACGCAATTGACAAAATGTACCCACTGAGCTTGAATTGTATGAGCCAGCTTCTATATTTAATATCTCTTATCATCACAAGATCTGAAAAGTGGAGGTGGACAACGCCAATGAGGAAAGGACCGGGAGAAAGGAAGGGAGAATAGAACAAGCCAGATTGCCAGCCATCCGTCATTGTCACTTCTACCGCCCTGCTCCCTTGCACACTGCATCTCCCGTCTTGTTTCTGTAGGCTGCAGGGTGTTTATTCCTTCAAAGCGGCTAGTGGGCGCGCAAAGAAGTTTACAATGGAGTCTTGGAGTAAGGCCATATGTGGCTCATCACGCCTGCTGGCCAGAGACTCGGAAGTCGGGTTGTCCCAGAGGCTGCAAAAGATCCAAATTTTGACTTGGCCTTGCAGGAGAAGAAGTTCCTGTATGGATCTGTCAATTATGCGGGCTTCTAGAGCTGTTCCATGTACCAGGAATAGTACTTAACGGTATTCCGGCAGGAGACTTGTGTCAATCACAGAGTACAAGACCATCGCATCAAATATGCAGTGCTTGTCAGGAAGCTCTGTTTTGCTTGCCTTCTTTGATATCCATATGCTTTTTGCTGCTGTTGTATCAAACCCAGGCTCTTACTTCCTTTTTGCTCCTAGCGGCCATTCACACAGCTCACGCTGCCAATGGAGAGTACAGTGCAGCTCGGCCGAGAATCCTTCGCACCCGACATCGGTCCATTGAAGCTCTCAATCGATAAGAAATCAAATACTCCGTACAATGCAGATGTCATGTCGGTCCCCCCACCAAACGCGGGAGCCGTACCATACCTGACAATACATACCAAATCGCTGAAAAATACCGGCAATGAACAGAACCGCCGTGCCAAGACTCGGCATCCCCACGCCTTAAGGCGCAGATGCAATAACCATTCGCGGCAGAGGGACCATTGTTAAAGACAACTGTGGTCACCTAAGCCCGCGAGACTGTGGCTGTAGAAACGAAGCTTAGAATGCTAAACACAATTGCGAAATATCCCTTTTTTGTACTGCCTGTGTTTGAAGTTACCGTACCATACTGCAATTCCACACGCTCTGGTTGTTCAGGACCCCGCCCTGAGAAACATGGATTTGGGAGGAGAGTAGTGTGGGGGACCAGGTGTGGTGCAGCAGCTCCATAAATGTACACAAGTCCTCCGAGATCAGGGTAGTCAGTGAGAGAGTTCCTGTGTGAATCAGCTGTGGTGGGATCTGACTGTTGATATCCGACTACGATTATATAGGCGGACCTCCCTCCCCCTCCCCCCTTCGCCGCTTGCGGTCTTTTATCACCGGCTCATTTTTTAATACCCCTGACCTTTTCTTTCCAATACTTGTGTGTCTGGATCATCTCTTGCCTGTGCTGCAAATTCCGGATGCCCTCCGCTGTTACTACTGGTCCTTTGCC